AGAACGAGGAAGAGAGAGAGAGAGAGAAAGCCACCAGAACGTCCGGCACTCGAACCATGGTTGGCCATGTGGGAGTCCAGCGCCCTTAGTCACCATGCCACCTGCTGGCCCCAAGAGTCATTATTTTTTAAATATGATATACAATTAATCACCAGTTTTGGAAAAGCCTGTCATTTCCCCACTACATTGTGCAATCACAAAAGGTGATTGTTTCTCTCTTCCATTTCATTTTTTAAAAGAATTATTTAATTTTATTTAACATTATTACTATTATTAACTTTGCTACAAGGCACATATGCTCACCAAAAGAGAGGGAAAGTAAGAAAGCAAGCCACCAGGTCCAGGACTCAAATCGTAGTCAGCCATGTGGGAGTGCAGCACCCCAATCACCATACCCCCCACCGGCCCCCCAGTCTATTCCATTTTTCCATTATCTTTCGTAGATATCACACCAACTTACACACCACTTCCCCCACACACACCCCAGAGGGCATATGCATTCACCAGACAGAGACAGAGAGAGAAGGAGAGTAATAAAGTACCCTCCACGGGGCATGGTCATGCCACAATCCCTTTTCTTCCATTTCTCCATTCCTCTGGAATTTGGGGCACAGCATGCACATGAACCCAAGAGTGTTTCTCAAGCCATCAGGTCCATGGCTTGGAGCCACATGGTCAGACATGTGAGATCCAGCTCACTTCACGAGGTCACAAGCTGGTCTCATATACACCATATCAATTCTTGATAATTTTATATCTTTTTCTAAAGATGTAGCTATTTTTTCTATCTTTCTTGAGAGATTTTTGCTATAGGGCAAGTACGCTTGCCAGAGAGACAGAGATAGAAGGAGAGAAATCATCCCACTCCCCCGGGAGGGATGACCTCGCTGCAATCCCTTCTCCTCCATTCTCTTCTCAGGATCTTGAGTGTGCACACACACACACACACACACATGCGTGGCATGAGTTTTAAGCCACCGAGTCTGGGACATACAGTTGAATACAAGGGAGTCCAGTGATGTAACCATTATGTTATCTGCTGGTCCTAAATAACCATTTTTTCAACCTTTTCATTTCATTCTAAATTTAAGATCAATGTATCAATGCATACCACAAACCTCAAATGAGATCAAATATAGATCAATTTGGGAGTATTACATATTTACAATATTGAATCTTCCATTTATGAAAATAGTGTCTCCCTCCATTTGATTAGATCCTTTTTATTGTTTATTTCTATTTTTAATTTGCCAGAGGGCGTGTGTTCACCAGAGAGAGACAGAGTAAGGAGAGGAGAAAGCAACCCTCCATAGAGAAGGTCACACCACAATCCCTTCTCCACCATGTCTCCCTCTTTTCAGGGTTTAGGGCACAGAGTAACCCTGCCTGTTTCATAAGCCCTGGGTTCCAGACTCTAACCACATGGCTGGTTGTGTGGGATCCACTTCCTCAAACACTAGGTCACAGGTCAGCCCAATCAGATCCTCTTTTTATCTATCTCTCAGTATGCTTTATACTTTTTAGTGTAAAAATCTTTTTTTGAGAGTTTTTTTCGCTATAGGGCACGTGCGCTCCCCAGACAGAGAGAGACAGAGAGACAGAAAGCGAGAAATCACCCCCCCCAGGGGGGATGGTCACGCCGCAATCCCTTCTCCTCCATTCTACTCTCAGAATCTTGGGCACGCATGCACACGCACCTGGCGTGAGTTCTAAGCCACCGGGTCCGGGACACGAACCGCGGTCGACTACATGGGAGTCCAGCAACGTAGCCATTACGCTAACTGCTGGTTCCCAGTGTAAGAATCTTATAACTTCCATTGATTTTATTTATTCCTAAGAATATGATGTTTGACTACTTATGTGTGTACTACTTTAAGACACAAGCCTTTGCTTTAGGGGGTATTTGTACTGTCCTGCTAAGGGAGACGGAACGGTAAAGCAGGCACAACTAAAGAACCATGAGTGCTGGAGGACGTGTGTTCACCACTACTAAAGAAAAAAACCTTTAATATCCTACTCATAAGTACAATGGGATAGAAACATTTGTCATCTTTAATCTGGCATGTATGTATATCTTCTCATTCCAGACGTCCAGTTGATTTGGGTGGTATTACGGTCCACCAGCAGAAAACCTACAAGTGAAAACGAGCACCAGGAAGGCAGAAGTGTGCACTAAAGGGAGCTGGGGAAGAGGCTGTGGGTGGCGACGGCCGGGGGCCTGGGCGCTCAGTAGAAGCAGACCGTGTGCAGGAAGGTCCTGCCGCTCTTCTCCTCGAAGTCCTGCAGCAGCTCGGAGATCTCGTTCTCCATGTCCTCGGGCGTTGACCACGTGCACCGGCTGGCAGGTCTCCTGCTCTCGCGAGCTCAGCTCCTCCACCACCTGGTCGTAGACTCGCTCCTCGCACGTGACGATCAGGTCGAACACGTCCCTGCAGCTCTGGAACCTCTCCGGCGCGGCCTTGATCCTCTTGTTTCTGTCCAGCATGTGTAAGAGGCCGTTCTGGGTGTAGAGCTCCTTGTCCTTCCTCAGGAGGTCGTGGTACATCTGGTCGTAGGTGGTTCTGAAGTCGTAGACGTTGGGCTTGTCGGGCGCGGCCCCGGGCAGCTTCACGTGGGTGCCGGTGCCGAAGGAGCGCACGCTGAAGCCGCGTTTGCTGAGGATGCTGTGCGCCTCCATGCTCCGGTTCTGGTTGCTGGAGCACACCACGGCCACCCGCAGCGGCAACGGCATGGCGCGGCCTCGCGGGCTCCGCCACTGCGCCCCGCAGCCCTACGGGCTCTGGCGTGGCCTCGGGGCAAAATGATTGCATGCGACGAGAAGTCAGTGAGTGCCGCAGCTGCGTCGGCCGGAAGTACATGCGTGGCCCGCACCACCATCAACACGTGCACGTCAGCGCGATGGCCAGGGCAGCCTCTGCCTTTGCCCAGAGCGTAAGGCCGAGGGCGAGGAGTGTCTTGCCTAGAGGCTTCCTTGCTCCGGAGGTTGGCAGTGGGGTGGAGGGAGGCAATTTATTTTAAAGTTATGACTGCAAGTGAATAGTATAGAGCATTGGCGCTTTGTTGGAGAGGAGGTGTGAGTTTTGCCCCCCTGTACATCTTTAGCAAGGTTGGGAGATAGTTTTAATCGTCCGGTGGTGTTGCTATTGGCATCTAGTGGGTAGCTAAGGATGCTGCTGCAGATTGTAGAAAAATCGTAGAATGCTGGGATGGTTGCCCAATCGAAGATCATCCAGCCCAAATTATCAATAACGCATTCTAGAGAACCCCAGTATAAAGAACTTAGCAGGCCTACAAGTTTAGGTTGCAAACTGAACTCAGCGCTGGAAGCCACACAGCCAGCCATGGTTTGGATCCCTGGGTCAGTCTTAAAACATGCCTGGCATGCCTGTGACACCCAAGATCCTGAATAGGTGGATCACTGGGGAAAGGAGACTGTGGCGTGACAAGGTCATGTTAAGGATGCCTCTTCTTTCTCTCATGTATTTGCACAAGCTATCATGAATAGAACAGATAAACTAAAAAATGGGGGTGGTTGGGAAAGGAGAGAATTTCTAGAAAGAGGGGACTAGGCAATGGCTCAGTGATATTGTAAAATGGGACAGCCTTTTCAGCTGACCCAGATGACACGGTTTCAGGTTCACACCCAGAGAACTCCCTGGGTAACAGACCTGTGTGCATGCCACGATCCAGGGCTGGCTGGGGCTAGGGGTAGGTGGGTGGTGTCGGGGTCTTGTTGGAGGTACTCTCTGTTTTTCTCACTTGTGAAAGGAATTGATGAATAAATTTTAAAAAGAAAAAGGAAAACAATTTTCAGGAAGATATCAATTAATATTCATTATTCTTTTTTTTTTTTAGAGATTTTTGCTATATGGTGCATGCGCTCGCCAGAAAGACAGAGAGAGACAGAGAGAAAGCAAGAAATCACCCCCAAGAGGGGAGCTAAGGATGCTGCTGCAGATTGTAGAAAAATCGTAGAATGCTGGGATGGTTGCCCAATCGAAGATCATCCAGCCCAAATTATCAATAACGCATTCTAGAGAACCCCAGTATAAAGAACTTAGCAGGCCTACAAGTTTAGGTTGCAAACTGAACTCAGCGCTGGAAGCCACACAGCCAGCCATGGTTTGGATCCCTGGGTCAGTCTTAAAACATGCCTGGCATGCCTGTGACACCCAAGATCCTGAATAGGTGGATCACTGGGGAAAGGAGACTGTGGCGTGACAAGGTCATGTTAAGGATGCCTCTTCTTTCTCTCATGTATTTGCACAAGCTATCATGAATAGAACAGATAAACTAAAAAATGGGGGTGGTTGGGAAAGGAGAGAATTTCTAGAAAGAGGGGACTAGGCAATGGCTCAGTGATATTGTAAAATGGGACAGCCTTTTCAGCTGACCCAGATGACACGGTTTCAGGTTCACACCCAGAGAACTCCCTGGGTAACAGACCTGTGTGCATGCCACGATCCAGGGCTGGCTGGGGCTAGGGGTAGGTGGGTGGTGTCGGGGTCTTGTTGGAGGTACTCTCTGTTTTTCTCACTTGTGAAAGGAATTGATGAATAAATTTTAAAAAGAAAAAGGAAAACAATTTTCAGGAAGATATCAATTAATATTCATTATTCTTTTTTTTTTTTTAGAGATTTTTGCTATATGGTGCATGCGCTCGCCAGAAAGACAGAGAGAGACAGAGAGAAAGCAAGAAATCACCCCCAAGAGGGGATGACCACACCGCAATCCCTTCTCCTCCATTCTCTTGGGATTTGGGGCACACAGGCACATGCACCCAGCGTGAGTTTAAGCCACCAGGTCCGGGACTCCAACCGCGGTCAACCACATGGGAGTCCAGTGACATAGCCATTGCGCCAACTGCTGGTCCCAATATTCATTATTTTTATACATCACTTATAGATTTTTGTATTTTATATGACATAGTGAACTGGACTGACATTTTCACTTATTAAAACTAGTTTTGAACTTAAGTATAGAACAGGCCCTGTGGTCTGGTGGTTAAGGGTCCTGGATCCCATATGGCTATCTGTGTAGTTTGAATTTTAGCCCTGATGACTCAAAAAACAAACTGAGAGTGTGTTCACACATTCCCAAAACCCTGATGGGAAGAAGATGTGGAGGAGAAGGGATTACATCGTGGCTGTGACTCACGGAGGGTGCTTTCTTCCTTTCCCTTTCTCCCTGTCTCTCTTTGGGGAACACACATCCCCTCTGATAATTTAAAAAACAAGTCTTTCTTTCCTATCTTTCTCCATCCCTACCTTCCTTCTTCCTTTCCTGGAGATGATTTACTTACATTCCAGGTTAATAAAACCTGTAAGGGGGAGGAGGGAGGATGGGGAACAGGGAAATAAAACAATATGTTTGATTGACACAAAAATGAAAAATTATTTGCTGATGACAATGTATATGGTTATGTCTTTGTCTTGACTAATATGCACTGTATTTGCACTGGGAAAAACCATGTTGTACACTGTGAAAATGTATAGTGATTAAATGTAAATTTATATATATATATGTGTGTGTGTGTGTGTGTGTGTGTGTGTGTGTATTTATTTATTTAAACTTTGTGAGGATGGGACCTGCAGGAGGCATAATGGTTAAGGCAGTGGACTCACACATGGTCATCGGCATTTAAGTCCCAGACCTAGCAGCTTGAAAATCATGCTGGGTCCTTGTGCATGCATGCCCAAAATCTCAGGAGGAGAATGGAAGAGAAGGGATTGCAGCATGGCCATCTCTCCTGGGGGTGATTTCTCACTTTCCCTTTCATCATCTCTCTCATTTCTCTCTGGTGAGCTCACACACCAGAAAGGCAAAACCAAAAAATACCTGTGAGGATAAGCAGGTTTGTGAGCAGGTCTCTTATAAAATAAGGGGTTTCTTAGGTTCAGTGGTCTTCAGCTGTGACACAGATCACTGTATACCCAGTATCCACTTGGGCCTGCCTCCTCATGTTCCCTTGCTGCACTGAGAACAATAAACTGTCTACATCTCTGGGAACTTGTCTCCTTATTGGCTGAACATGTAGATACAAGGTAAATGACGTAGAAGCTGCAATAATCTCTGCTGCTCAGGGATTGCTTGAGACTGACCCATCAGCAAGGCTTGTCACCGATGGGGGACATTCGTGGAGCAGGAACTGCTAATGTCATCTGTTGTTTTTCTCTACCTTAGCGATGATGGGGAAGTGCTATTGGGTAAGGCAAATATGTGTTCAAGGGTTCTGAAAACTTGCCATTCAGGTAGGTGGGCTTGAGGTGCTGGCCCTGAGACATTCGGAGCAGCCAAGAGCCACCATGTCACTATTTATACTGAAACTCATGACTTAGTTGTAGTGTAGTGACCAGGAGGCCTCCCTGTGTCTACCAGGATGCAGAAGGTAACGATACAGGGCTTGGTGTTTGAGACCTGTTTCCTGAAGGCTGAGCATTCTGTTCTTGAGCTCCTAAGACCCCAGCAATGAGTGAGTCTGTGTTGCTTAATTAAGT